TTTTAAAAGTAGTTTTGACAGATAAATGTTTTATTCAGTACCTTCTGAGATTGGTTCGATAAGGTTAGGAACGCAAGGTACTTGATAAAATCAAAGATGCAATGAACTTCAATATTTACATATATTAATATAAATTAATAAGCATAAAATAACACACATAAAATTTTATTACATTCTCAACAAATTAACAGACATTTAAATGTTAATAAGTTCTGAATTTTCTTAGTATTTTAAGACAATTTTGAAATCTGAATAAATAAAAAATAGACAGAAAATTAGATAAATATATAGTTTATATTTGCTACAAAACAAAATGTCTGACATCACATCATACATTTAATACTCGAATAATTACTAATATCTTATTTATGAAGCGTGTCAAATTAAAGCCAGATACATTAAGAGAGACTGGTTGCATTCGTTCCTTAATACCTATACAAAATATTTAAAGCTAGCAACACTTCAAATGTCAAACTGATCATGGTCAGGATGTAACCTTAACGGAGGTAAGAAATCGCCAACGGGAAATACTTTTATAAACTAGTTACATGCGACCAAAGCAGGTGGATAGAACATCTTTGATTTTGACTTTTATTACAATAAGAGGATATCCAGGCTGCAAGAAATAATTGCTGTCGCGCTGTGCTGGAATGGCCAAGCTAGGCAATCGAGAAAGAAAACTAAAGCTTGGACTGATAATACCAATAAAATATTAGGAAATCATTTTCTCGTGTTCCCTGTTTCCTTCTCCAAAACTGGACCAATTTCAATTTTTTTCTTTCAGTATCATATAAGACGGATTGCGGTATCAAGTCTCTGGCCTCTGTCATTAAAAACAAGTGTTCAGTAAATTAGCTTCCTGGATAACTCATAACAAGGGAATATTAATAATTTTAAAAGAGTTTGTAGTTAACAAAATAATTGATTTAGGGATAAAAAAAATTAGGAACATGAAGGTAGATGCAGATTGTATCAAAAAGTTTTTGCTCTAATGTCAAATAGAATCCAGGGAGAAAACAGAGAGATACGTTTAAATGGACCGAACGTCGCCCGGATATTCTTTATTGCAGAAAAAGTAGAATAAAAATGCTCTCTCCTTCGCCATATATGAGGAAATATAGTTCTATTTTAAGGCGACATTGCGAAAAAATGCACCTCCTTTCATCGAATAGTACTGGAATTTTGATTCCAGTTTCGTTAGTCGTGTCTTTTCAATTCATGTCTTTATCTTGAGTTTGCTTGCTCAAAAACACGATTGTAAAATTTTGACTCGATCATAATAATTTGCGAAAACACCTCTAAAAAATCACTATAGTTGAAATTACAACGAAATTACTTAATCTATATGCTTGGAAACCACTCGAATACATTCATGACATCAATATTCGTAATTTACTTGCTCATTATTTTGATTGCTAAAATCAATAATCTTTTAAAAATATTTTAAGATTCTACGCGATTTCTAAGCGGTTTTAATAGTCGCGGGCGCTACGCAATTTTAGACCTTATGACGGCGTTTTTGAAGTTTTTATAGAAATTATGTTTTACTCTGGTTAGTCCGGCGATAGCCCGCTTCAACGGTTTTCGATGTGTCCCCTTAATATTAGTTATTATAATATTTAGTTAAGTAAAGACGGCGCAGCATCTTTGCAAAAGCGTAAGCTAACTTAAAAACAATATTGCACTAAGAAATACTTAAGTACTACAGTGTCTAAAAATAGGTAATGCTACTAAACGGTTACTAAAAACTAAGCAAACACTAAATTCGACTAATTTAAGTACCTATGTAGAAACGTCAAATTCCCTCCCATTCTCATGTTTTTCATTTTTTTTTCATTGACAGGCAATCACATTAATCTCATTACAAATTTTTTAATCTATGCCCTCAAACATACATTGCATGATATTTGTATGTGTGTGTGCGCGTGTGTGTTTGTGTCAACACTACAGATTTGAGGAATCCACTGAAATAACATGTAATATATAAAAATTTATATTTGTTTGTTCGTATTTTATGCGCTACCATATCGTTCATCAGATTGAGCTAAAACTTTCCCAATTTATTGATTGCACTTGCGCAAGCATGATTATAGACATTGTACAATTAACTAACAGTAGGTGGCGCGTGTATCGTCGTACCCACAAATTTATTTGAAAATTTATCATTCAATTTCCATGAATGTATTTATCATTCCTTTTAAAAGAATATAACTCTTCCAAATTTAAAATTATATTTCCACAATTATTTCTTCTGCGGCAGCAACGCGCCGACTCGAGTACCAGCTAGTAAGCAATAAACATCGAAGGAAAGGAAATTTTAACGTGAACTTCTTAAATATCAATAAGTTAACAATTTATTTATTTAAAATGTCCATCATTTAAATTGCATAAATAAATTACGAACATTTCTTTTTTTCTTTAAAAAAACGTTACCCCCACACTAGGATTTTCTCCTGTGTCGTGGAGACAGTTTACAAACATAAATTGCACGAGGACAAACATCCAGACCCGGAACAATTAATTGTAGGCCATACAAATACTTGTTCCGTGCGGGATTCGAACCCGCGGCCCCCAGCGCAACAAGTCATTGCTAAGCTAAACACATTGCCTGTCGCAGCGTTGAAACACCTTAATTTGTCGAAAGGTTAACAACAAAAGAAGTGAATTCTCTAAAAAAAATATAACATGCAACATAACAAAAGTATTTAAGTGCATGTTAAAAATCAGAACGTTTTACATTTAATAAGCCTGCAATGTAAATATGGTATCTATACAAGTCATAAAATTAGACATTTTGTACAACCGACTTCTATATAAATAAAACGAGAACATCATCAATGTAGTGGAAATCAATTAAATACAAAATATTAAGGATAACTCAAAAACTACTGGATAGATCTTTATCAAACTTACATGGGACCACATGAGAAGTACCAGCTTTCGATTTAAAAAAAAAGAATAATCAAAATCGGTTCACCTAAAAAAATGTTCAGAGGTAACATACATAAAATATACAGTCAAATTGAGCACCTCCTCCTTTTTTGAAGTTGGTGGAAAATCTAAAGATATACAAAAATCATGCAATAAATTTAAAAACATATACGTCCTATATTTAGCGCTATAATTTCTCAGACTACTGTAATATACATAATATGGAATGCACCAATTGGGTGTTTAGAGTTAATTTAATAAAAGGAATTGAGCATGGAGCATTTAGTTGTTTTCAATTAAGTGATAAAGATACTAAACACTACTATAGGTACACACATGACTAACTATTAACATGTTAAGTACTGTAGGCTAATATTTGATATATACAAACGTGTCAATTAAATTATAACCAATTAAACAATACAAGTGGAGCATGTTACACATTAATAAATCATTTTTATCATTGAACATTTTTAATTTAGGTATGTATTTCAAACTGTTTTAAATGGCGATGGGTAAATAAATAGACAGATGCATTCTAATATGTAACATTTTAAGTACTGTACATTAATGCTTTAATATAATACATTAATATATTAAATTATAATCGTTATTATATATTATGTCTAACAGTCAAGCAACTCTTTAACAAATCATCTTTATTACATAAATTATCACGTAAATTAATATTCTAAATTAAAATTCCATTACATTTACTCAATGTTTTAGTTTTTTTTTAAATAGAATTAGTGTGACAATCAAGCGCACAGTACACCTGATGATAAGTGGATGCTATGGCCCATAGACATCTGCATCCATCATCAATTAAGAATAAAAATTCAGATGCGTTGTCGCTCCTGAGGACTAAAATGGAATTCCTGATTAGCAGTAAAAAGGGTCATTTTACCGTTGTCTATGAAAATAGAACTCTCTCTATGTTTATGAAAATGTCTATGAAAGACAAACCTGTAATTATTGATATTATAAATTTAAAAAGTATAGTAACATAAGCACAAATTGCAAGATATGAGTATTTTTTGTTTCTTCATTAAATACATGAACTTTAAATAGTCGAGTAATTAGACTGATATTGATTCAACTGTAACATAAACAGGTTTATATTATTTTCACATAAAGAGGCCATTTCTGTAATAATCATAATGTAATATAATATAACTGGTGTTCTTAAATTGCAGACCAACTGATTTACTCAAAAAAAAATCGACATCAATTTAAGATGTGATTAGAGTTGCTCACTCTCTTTTCACAACATGACCATATACGTGGTAGAGCCATGCTGCAGCTGTATTAGTAGTATAGTTGTAGCACGAATGGGTCGGATCGTCCGGGGAAGGACCACACTCTCACAGAATACCAGCGTAAAATGGCAGCTAGACACTGCAGTGTTTCATATGGTGAGTGTAGAGAACCGGAGACCCTTTTTACTGGAAACGAGGCATTCCATCTTAGTCCTTACGGGTGACGACGCATCTGCATATTGATTCTTTATTGAACATAAATGTAGATGTCACAGCAGCCACTTACCATCAGGTGGACTGTGTGCTCATTGGTCACCCTATCCTATAAAAAAAAAAGAGACAGGCATAGAGATAATTAATACTTAAATAAGCGTTAGTCAACGATTATAAGTAATACCGCATTTCATTAAAACTTGCATAATAATTATTGTCAAATTTTATACAGGCTTTTTATTATTTATAGTTTTACGGATCAGTAAGGTGAAGTACCAAACTCGACCGCGGCGATGAACTGGGGAAAAAAAGTTCCAATGTAGCAGCCTGATAATGGTAAGAAGAGTGTAAGAGGCCCCCCACTTGATCGAGTGACAACCCGGTAAGACATGAATGAAGTCAATGAATGCGGTAGCTCAGGACCGTGCTTTGTGCCATTACTTGGGGAGGCCAATATTCTGCACTGGACTTGTGAAGGGGTGTAATGATGATGAATGTTTTACTATACATATAAATTTCGACATCTTTTTATGAGAATTATGGCTCAAACAACTTTTAAGGTTGATAGCAGAAAGGGCATAGATTAAAAATACAGTGTTACATGGCTTCACTCTTATTATTTTTCTGTGTAAGTTTGCTCAACGTGCTTAGCTGAGGAAAAGTAGTTTTATTTTGGACTGGATTTAAACGAGACGTCATAAATATAAAAGGTTCGTACAAAGAAGGACGATCCATAGCAGAAACTTCAAAATGTCGGATCTTCTCCCGGGCGCACCAATTAGAGGCCTTTGAACAAGTATTCTCAAGGCTGTTAACGTCATCTGGACCTGTTCTATTTCCAATTACTAACATGACTACCTGAAAATTAATAAAAATAGGGTAGGCACATAATCATAAAACTATGATAGCTTAGCAGATAAGCACTCGAGTTCAATCACAGCTGACATTAAAGAAGTTGTTGAAGCAATTAGTTTCAGTGCTAAGAGCCGCGGGTTCAAGTAGCGGGCGCATAGAACAAATATTTGTACGGCCTATAAATAATTGTTCCACATCTGGATGTTTGTCCTTGTGAAATTTATGTATGTAAACTGCCCCCAAGATACAAAATAAAAACCTAGTGGTAATTAAAAATATAAAATAAAATTATAATTTTACGCACTGATTTACTATGTGCTTCGGAAAAGAAAAGTAAAATGCGACGATATACTTTGAGGCAATGTGTCGCATTTTTTTTGCTTGCTCCATAAACGCTCTCAAATAAGCAGGACCAGATAGGCAGTTATTTCATTTTTTATAGGGTACATAATTAGCACCACTCATATCAAATTCTACCACTAAATAGCAGCGCTTGCACTGCTGCGTTTTGGTATGAAAGGTATAGAGAGTCAGTATATTTACTGACTGTGAGGCATTCTAACTTAACAATTTCACTGTCCGGTTTAGAGACACAATAGTAAGACAATAACAATGACCTATATGTAGTGCACGGGACAGCGAAAGGGTTAAGTCTACAGAGGTGACAACGCATCTGTAGCATTCTTTCTTTGAAGTGGCTACATGTGTCCTGCAAATGAACTGAAGTAGCCACTTGCCATCAGGCGAACTGTAAGATGGTTTGTCACTTCATAAAAAAGTTTCTTAGATTATATTACATGAGACAAGTGCTATCACAGGACACGGCACCTTTAACAAACAATTAAATTACAATAGGTGTTACAGATAGTCCCCTGTGCAGGGCATGTATGGGGCAGAAAGAAACAGCGGCTCATGTGCTACTGAAATGTCCGGAGGTCGCTACATACAGGGCTAAACATCTCGGCACGCCGGGATCACTCCCTGAAGTTGCATGCAACATCAAAGGACTGTTGAGTTTCTTCGGGGAGATCTCATGGCTCGAATAATCACATTATTCCTGCCCACACGCAAAATACGCGCATAGACGTGGAGTTGCGGAAAACAGCCCATTGTAAACTAAACTAAACTACATGGGACTATAATTACAAACGCAATAAAAATTTTAGTTTTTATAAAATGCTGTGAACACCTCGTTACAACACCATTACTACATCTGCAAAAACATACATATTTACCTTTACACTGTATATTTAGCCGCTTTCCTAATCACTATTTATGAATACAAAGAGAAGCCTTCAATTGAATAATTGAATAATAAAAGTGTGTTAAATAAATATTTAAATGAAATAAATGACTGAATCGATTTTATACCACACATCTGTTGGGTGTGAGTTCTTAAAAAAGCAGGGTTCCCTAACTCACTACTAATTGTGTCCTACTAATTGTTTTGCTGATAGATAAGAAAAAAGTCGTCAGCTCAACCGCTTGGCCACACACTTGAGACCAAGCCTCATATGGCACTGATCCCCCTCTGTGCTTGCGGTATTCAAATTCAAATTCAAATTCAAATTTCATTTATTTACAAGAATGTAGTTACAAAAAAGGTGTTGTTGCAATATTAAGGCGCTAATACATTCTACCCACTATTTGGGTGTGCAAATATTTAAATGGAAATAAGTTAATTAAATTACACTACACCAACACTACACAGATTCTTCGCGTCACTATTGTTAAACGTCACTAATTCCTTCACAGATTCCGCAATGTAATAAGTTCTTGAATATCATAAAATTGTTTCTCCATTAACCATTTCGTCAGTTTCTTCTTGAATATATTTACTGGGAGATTCTTAAAGTTATCCGGTATTTTATTATATATTGTAATAGTCATAAATATCACACTATTTTTTGCTTGATTTATTCTACATGTTGGAAAGTGCAGTTTATTTTGATACCTCGTTAACATATGCGAATTTACTTCTCCTTTCTTTTTAAAATATTCTGGGTGGTATTTAACAAATAAACATACTTCTCTTATATATATGCAGGTTAGTGTAAGGATACGTAATTTACCGAACATTGGTTTGCAACTGTCCCTTTGATGTAATCCGCACAAGGCCCGGATACATTTCTTTTGTGCTACAAATACTTTCCGCACCTCGCAAGACTGTCCCCAAAGAATTATTCCGTAAGAGAGTATCGACGATATATATGCATGGTAGGCATTTATTGCAGCATTCATAGATACAGTATCTCTTAGGCGACGTAATACGTAAACGAAACGATTTAACCTATTACAAGTATATTCAATATGACTGTCCCATTTTAGACCTTCGTCTACCAGAACACCTAAGAATTTATGGTGTTTTACCTGTTCGATTACTTGATCATTACATTTTATGTCTAGATTAATTTTGGTGCAATTCTTTGTATAATATTGAATTATTTTTGTTTTTACTAAGTTTATTTTCAGATTATTATTTTGTAACCATTTTACTATATTATGTAATGCTGTATTTATATCTCTCTCATATGTATTTTTGTCCGTGCATTTAATAATAATCGTCGTGTCGTCTGCAAATAAAACTGTTTTGTGTTTCACTGATCTCGGTAAATCGTTAATATATAAGAGGAATAAAAATGGACCGAGCACACTTCCTTGTGGTACGCCTGATTTATTAACTTTTTTCTCTGACCTATATGAGTTTCGTGTTTGATTTATCATTTTATGAATCTCCACATACTGATATCTATCATTTAAGTAACTTGCAACCCATTCTTTAGCAATTCCTCTTATGCCATATTTCTCCAACTTAAACAAGAGTAATTGATGGTCCACAAAATCAAATGCTTTGCTCATATCTAAGAATATAGTGGCTGCTGGTTTTTTTTTCAATAAAGGCTTGAATTATTTCTTTTACCATGTCGAAGCATGCTAAAGAAGTAGAACTATTTTTTCTAAATCCAAACTGTTCCCGACATAATATTTTGTTTTTATCAACATAATTTTGAAATCTTTCTAAAATTACCTTTTCAAATATCTTAGATAAAACTGGAATTAGTGCTATCGGTCTGTAGTTTTTAATATCATTTGGATCATCTTTTTTATATAACGGTTTTATAACTGATGTTTTTAGAACATGAGGAAAAGTTCCTTGCTCCATAGATAAATTGACAAGAAAGGATAACGGTTTGCAAATATGTACACTGGAAGCCTTTAGTATTTTTGTACTTATACCGTCTGTTCCTACGGAATTCGTGTTATTTAGGGATTTTATTACTTTTAAAATTTCGTCACTGCTTGTTGGTGTCAAGAATATTGTATTACATTTTTCCGTAGTCAATGTTGTTTTTATTTCAGTTGCTTCATAATTAAAATTTGTTTGATTTGTTTTGTTAATAAAAAAGTTATTAAATTGTTCACATATATCATTCATTGAGTTGTATACATTATTATTGACTACAATCTTTTCTATCTCTTTAATATTGTTTTCGTCATTAATATTATTAGATATCATATGCCATAAAGCCTTATTTTTATTTTTTGATAATTTAATAAATTTTTCACATTGAATTTGTTTTGACTTAAGAATGCACCTTTTTAGAATATTTTTGTATTTTATATAATAACCCCAACTATTTGTAAATGTTTTCCTGTAATATATACTTTTTAAATATAGCAGTCGCTTTCGTACACAACATTTCTTCAATCTTTTGGTTATCCAATTAATATTAGGTTTTCCTGTGTTTCTCTTTATCTTAACAAATGGGAAACAGAGATTGTAAAACAGTTGGAATAATTCATAAAAAGTATTAAAGCATTCATTTAAGTTATTAAATTCATGTATTTCAGAGAAACTCAATGATGCCATGCACTCACAAAATTTACGTATATTCTGCTTACTGTAATCTCTTTTTGTTTCAAACCAGGACACATTTACTTTGGGTTTAATCATATTTACTTTTAATATCTGTGCAGTTTCGTGATCTGATAAACCAAGATGAAGTACTTCTGCTGTTACGCCTCTTTTTATATTTGTCGCTATTTGATCTATGCATGAATTTTTCCTAGTAGGTGTTTTTATTAAACATTCAATATTATAGTTCTGAAGTAAAGTATTAAGTTCATCTGAAAACTTAGTTTTTTTAAGAATATCAATATTCCAATCACCGCATATTATTATTTTTTTATTTTTAGTTGCAATTTTTTGTAGTGTAAGTTGAAGTTTTTCAATAAAAATCTCTATACTTTGACTTGGAATTCTATAAACACAAATTATCACTGTATTTAAGTGTTTTAACTCTATACCACAACACTCAAAGAATAAATTACAACCAAGATCCTTTATTAAGTCTAGATTAATACATGAAATGTCCTCTTTGACCAGAATGCATGTTCCACCTCTTTTTTGTTTGCGAGAAAACGATGATATCAATTTATATCCTGGTAATTTAAGTAGCTTCTCATTTCCTTTTCTAATAAATGTTTCACATAAGCATATAATGTCAATAATGTGGGACTTACTTAATTGAGATATTGCCAAGTACAGCTCTTCTGACTTATTTATGGCTCCGGCTATGTTTTGATGTAATATTGTCAAATATCTGGATTTAGGGACGAAAAAAATTTGGATTCGATGAAAAGTTTTCATTGTTCGGTAATATATTACTATTTGATGTATCCTCACTGTTCAGTTTTAAAGTGTTTTCATTTATTGTCTTTTTAAAATAATATGGAATTGTACCTTTTTTTACTTGATTTGATTTATTTCGTTTGTTTTTTAACAAACCGCATTTTTTTGACGAAGAAAGCCTTTCTAAGATCTTTTTTGTATTTAAAAATGTATTCGAGTATTCGATACTGTCAATTTCTATGTTTATTTTATTTATTAAATAAGCAATATTACAATTCATGAACAACAGTTCCTACTGCAAGACACTATTTAATGATAATATTTATCAACTCTCACCAAACAGACTTTAGTTAGCTTGGCAGACATTATTATGCCCTTTCTAGTGGGTGAACATTTAAAAAAAAAGTGTCCTATCTGGTCCCAATTTTGTGATTTGTTTTTGGCATTAAACCAACTTAATATACAGGTATTGTGATATGAATCATTTTGGTCCACAAATATGAACTATAAACATAGCTATGAACCATTGTGCAACAACAAACTTACAGTGTGAATATGACCTTCGATGGTCTTCTGAATGATGTGGTTTTCATCTTTTATCTATTATAATGAAATCTCTCTCTTTAATAAACAGAGATTTAAGAATAAACATAAATGTTTTAAAGGCTTCTATATTATATATATAGATCCTTTACAAACTGTTTAAATCGGCAACTAATGGCATTAAATAATCATTGCCTTAGATTTAATTACATTCATTAGCTGCTATTGCAACACTTACGTGCAATCTAAAATGGCAGGCAAAAATCTCCAATTTATTTTATTTGACATACCTCTTTTTTGTCCTTATTCCTATCAATATCCTTCTTTAAGTACATAAGAACATCGAGCGACTCAGGCCTTGTGGTATCATAAACCATAACAAAACCCTCAGCAAAGCCGAGATAGTGTCGCTGTAACACCTGATTGGCCGTAAGCTGCATTGTAGGAGATTGTGGCGGACCTGAAAAATGAATATCAACTTGATACAAATTATAATATACACAAAATATTTAATTTATAATAAACTAAAAGCTTGATTGGATTTAAGCAGTTGCATATTTGTTCTTCATGGTATGAATGTGTAATAGACAATATTATGAGTTTGTGATCCATGCTATATAAATTAAAATAGAAATGTCTGATATTTTGTTAGTTGCATTTTACTTTAAATATTAGATTTTATGCAAAGAATAAGACAGTACGCTATAGAGTTGGAACTTTTTTTTCATCAGTATTCCTTTCAAATAAGTGTTTTTCTTTCAGTGTCATTGATAAGAAGTTCCTAAGTTCAGTTTAAGACTTCAGCTTGCTGTCCTTATTTTTAATTGATTAATAATGACTATGGAAACACTATATGTATAAAAATACATAACTACTTATTATATTTTCAAAATTTTAATGAATGATCACACAGGGTAACTTAAAATCATAATAAGCTCTGGAATGGTTTAGCAAAATATAACTACATTGAACTAAAAACCTTTTAACTCGCCTGTTAGCGGCGGCTCCAGCCCCGCAGTGTCGTAAAAGCAAACACGTTCCTTTGTCCCCCTGTCGGTTTCTATGTTCGCAACATAAATATCCTCAATAGTTGGATAGAAGCAAGACTTCAGATTCACGTTTCCATATATCAGCTGTTCTAAGATCGCAGTTTTGCCAACCCCTTTCATCCCACATACTACAACTTTGCTCGTCTTACCCATTTTTATCAAAAATCTATTGGTAAACCTCTTTTTATCAAAAATCTATTGGTAAACCTCTAAGATTCAGTGTTAACTTTCACTTTTCTTCCATATCGCCAAAACGTATAAATTCCATAAAATTAAATTAATATGGAAACTTAGAAAATTTGTCTTGCGTGCATGGTATTAAACTATATTACAAATATTAATTATTTTTATTTGATTTTTTTTTTTGGTAGTTGTTTACGTAGTACCTATAACGTAAACACTAAAATTGACAATTGAGATTGAGATGTCTATGGTTGACATATTAACCAAAGAGAAAGATTACTGTTAATAAGCTTCGCTAATTAAGGCAGGCTAAGGATATAGACCGTACAACCTAAACTAATTTGAATATTGTTTACAATACTCTTTACAATATGTTAATGTGTCACAGATAAAGACAATATTATCTCAAGGCCCCTAAGCGGAGAAGAAAGCTGAGATTTATATCAACATCGAATACTTGTTACATCGTTTCAAATAATAGTTCACATGTACAGGTATTTATTACAAAAAATTGTATTACGTTTACATATCAAAATCTTCCTCAAACCATTATACAGGGTTATTTTTCAAAGAGTAGTCAAATATTTAAACTTAAGTTCAAATATATAAATAACTAACGATCCGCAACGGCTTCGCACGAGTGATTTCTGTATCTCGACAACAGAGCCACCTACCGGGTCCAAATATGAATTTAAGCTATCCAGGAACTCATTCAAATACACATAAAAAATTTCATTAAAATCGGTCGAGCCATTTTTGAGTTTTAGCTTCTACTTTTAATGATGAATGACGTGAAATGATGAAATGTCTCCTCGTTCATGCGGAAGTAGTAAAAATATTTTTGGGGTCTATTTTCTACTTTTCAAATAGGGTATAATATGTTCCTTCTAAGTATATTATTTTAAGATTGGATGAATTCAAAATTTGACTTCTCTGCGTTGATTATATTTTCATCTTAAATGTAATAGATATAACAAACAAATACGATGACCTAACGAGACAATTTTTACGTATTGTAGCACTGAAGTTTGTGTTAGTATTGGCCAAAAACCGAGCGTAGATCGGCACCGACACCAGCCAAGTGCCATGCCGACGAGTGTAAAAACTTTTAGATCTTACCTATTAGACCGCAGAATATAATTTTTGTGCGGCGCTCGCCCGGCTCAAACCAAAGAACTCGGCGGGCCCGGACGGTATACAGTGGAGGTGGGCAAAGTGTATCATTTTTGCGATTGGAACATTTGCATCTTGATCACTGAAATGTTCCGAAACACTGATATGTTTCATTTGGATCATCAACTCAAAAGATATAAAAGAAAGAATGTTCCGAATACATTAAGTTGCGTCGCGGGCGTTTATTACTGACTGATCCGTGAAATGTTATGTGGCAACAATGCTGAATAATATAAGTGCTTAGATTATTTATTGTGTACCGTAATAAGATTGTATATAAAATCGATTCTCCTTCATACTTTAACAAAAATGTCACTATGTCAATTCATAATTTACAAAAATGTCCATTTACACAAAACAGCAATGTCTATGTACACAGAATCAACTCATAAAGTATCATAACTCTATACTTTATGATGAAAAGGAAGAAAGTAAAGTCACAATAATCACTATGCAAAGAAATCCTAAACATAATTCAGTATGTTTTCGTAAACAGGCGCTAATGAATATAAACAATTTGACAAGTGCCGCATCAACGTAAAATGACAACTTGTTAATGCAAACATTACATACAAAAAACGACCGTATTTGACACATAAGCGCCTTAGTGGTAATTTTTACGTGCATGAATAACGTCAGCGAAAATCCGTACGAGTTGAGTGATACACTTCTTATTTGTTATCTCTATCTGACTTGTGTGGATTATAATTATTTCGCCCACTCACTCGCTACTCGTGAGTCAATAGTTAAGTTAATTATTGTCTCAGTCTGTCTCTCTCGCTCGTGACTCAGTCGCCTCGCAAGCGACGTGTCGCGCGAAATGAGCAAAGAGCAAAGTAATGTTTCACTGTTCCAGATCCAAATGATACATTTGAAACTTTGTTACTGAACCAATCTTTTGTGTCACTTCAGTGATTCGAATCAGTGAGTCGTTTCCGTAAAGAGATACACACGCCTAGTATACAGGCGTTTGTAATGAGAGACTGCCGCTCCGTGCTAGCGGAACCGTTGTTACACATTTTCAACTTGTGTCTGGAGAATTCATATTTTCCAAAAAGTTGGAAAATCACGAGTGTTATTCCGATACTTAAGGGAGGTAACAAACCTACAGACTAGTGGCGATTCTCTCAACACCTGCGAAGGTGTTTGAGGGAGCCATCCAGCGAAGTGTACAGGAACAAGTTGCACCGCAGTTATCGGACGCCCAGCACGGCTTCCGGCCAGAGAGGAGCACAACCAGTAACCTTCTTAATGCCATGACGTATTTGGTTCCTCATGTCGATGCAGGGTTGCAGGTAGATGCCGCATACTTTGATTTTAGAAAGGCTTCGACTTGGTAGATAACAATATCCTACTGTCAAAGATGGCGAAAGTTGGCTGCACACCTAAACTGCTTCATTTTTTTGCGAGATACATGAGAGATAGAAAACAGTATATGGAGTACGGTGAGTACTGGTCGGAGCCTTACTTTACTAGGTCTGGTGTGAGCCAAGGCAGTAATTTAGGGTCGTTAGAGTTCAACATAATGATTAATGTTTTACCAGAAGTAGTAAGAGAGGCTAAGTGTTTATTATTTGCAGACGACCTAAAATTGCTTTTAGCCATCAAGAGTGATGATGATTGTCGCCACCTTCAGCAAGATAACGACCAAGTAGTTGAATGGAGTCACAAAAATAAGCCCTAGTTTAATATTTCAAAATGCTCTATTCTATCATTTAGTCGTGCAAGGGCACCACTCCATTACAACTATAAGGTGGATGGCGAGCTGATGAAGAGGGAAGAATCAGTCCGGGATCTTGGGGTACAGATGGATGTCAAATTGACATTTCGGGAGCACATCTTGAACATATGTAAAAAAGCTTATAAACGACTAGGATTCATCATTCGCAGAGCAGTAAAATTTACCAACATAAAAGCCATCTCAGTGCTGTATGATATTCTAGTAAGGAGTCAGCTGGAGTGTAACTCGGCAATATGGGCTCCACATGAAAATAAATACAGTCTTATGCTAGAGCGCATTCAGAATAAATTCACGCAATTTGTATATCATAAGCTTTATGGAGTTTATCCCTTCTATCCCTTGATGTATCCAACCTTGTTTGTTTTGGGCATGGTTGGATACAACAAGCTGGAAACTAGGAGGGATCTAGCGCTGGTAACCTACATTTTAAAGGTGTTCCGTGGTTACATTAGCAACCCGGGTGTGCTGCAGTGGATAGGATTACGCGTGCCTGTTAGATATGTACAGCGGCGACGGCGCCCAAGCTTGCTCACGGTGCCGCGTGGCAGGACTAAACTGGTACGCAACACTCTCACGCGAACGATACACATACAAAATTTGGTTGCTGAGAAGTTGGACTTATTTTCGTGTTCACTGAGTGAGTTTGCAAAAGTGACATTATTTATAATATGTTATTCTCAAATTGAATTATACAATTGATTGTAATGTGCTGTTATTTAAATTAATTATTGTGTGTTGTAATTAGTAATATTATTATCTTTTACCATTTGAATTGTTATTTTATGCTTTATGATGAATTCCAATAACATATTTTAATTGTATCATTATTATTAATATTATTTTGAATTGAGATGCTACATTTATCGATTTAGGTTTTTCCCTGTCATGGTAGATGTTAGTAAAAAATATAAATAAATAAAATAAATAAATATAATTTTGACGGGAAGTTCTGACTAGGTTGCTACCACGGAAGTATAGACAAACGAAGTTCATGTATTTCCATGGTTGCTACATACTTTTTTATCTATGGTTGTGAGTTGTGACATCTGACATCTGACATTGACAACATGGCGGTCACGGCGTTGGATTCAGAAATCACTAAAAGTGATAAATATTCAATATTACTGCCTACTTATAACGAAAGAGAGAATCTGCCTATTATAATATGGCTTATAATGAAATATTTAGATAATAGGTGAACTAATTTTTAAAATTACGAGCTCTTAAATTTCTTTAAAAGGAAGCCTTTATCGATTAATAATTCATTAAATTGCAGTGGATACGATTATGAAGTTATTATTATTGACGATGGAAGTCCAGATGGTACCCTGGAGGTTGCAAAACAGTTACAAAAACTTTATGGTTCAAGCAAAATTGTACTTAGGCCAAGAGAAAAGAAGCTAGGGTTAGGGACAGCTTATATACATGGAATACGACATGCAACCGGCAACTTTATCATAATCATGGATGCTGATTTAAGCCACCATGTAAGTTAAAATAGTTTTTCTGCATTATTGTAGGCATTTAACTAGACCAGAATAAACTCATAAACATTGGCTTAGCTTGTCATATATGATTAGATTTTTCAGTAATATATCAAAAAAGCAGCTTCACTAGAATATACACGAATAACATCAGGTTTTTAATATTATGGCTATGATTATACAATAGAATTTCACATACTAAAAGGTAAACATGAAATACTAAAATAGCCTCTGCTTATTTATTATTATTACAATAGAAAACTTCCATAAAATATAGGAAAAACGTTAGTAATAACATTATCTACTATTTTTTATTTTCCTTAGATAATAATATAGATTTATTCCCCCATTTAAGAATTTGGTTTCAAGTGTCTATGATTCCCATTGTGTGATAAACAAGCTAACAGCTTACCTACCATTAGGTAAACTAAGCTTGTTTAAAAAACACTATATAAACACAAACACACCTGTCACCCAGAGGGGTAGGCAGAGACTATGGAATTCCATTTGGTGTGATCCTGACACATCTCTTTTGCCTCCTTTACATCCATATATCTATGCATACATGCTTGTCGGTTAAGGGTTCTCCTAACCTGGTCCAATTTCAATTTATTGCAAATTTGATTGATAAACCTTTGTCTAGGGCGTCATTTCCTGACTCTGCTGTTCAATTCTGCAACATAAATTTGTTACTCTTTCCTCATTCATGACCGAACCACTGAAGCATTCCTTTCTTACTCCTGGTCACAACGTCATCTTGCAAATTTCACTTTTCTCTTGTCACACTATTTCTCACCCTGTCATTCAGATTCAGCCCCCACAAATAATATAAAATAATGTGAGTTGGCTATGTCAGAATATCCATCATGCTATATCATCCTGTGGCTGTCTTAAGTGGCTACAGAGAGAAACTGACGCAAGAGACGGGCAGCAGAATCTTCCCTGAACACCTGAAAAAAAAAAACTGACGTTGCCAAACTACTTGACAAGTGTGGCAACTATGGCAAATATCCCCCCCTATGAGGCAATCTATGGGGGAGGCCTATATTTAATAGTGGATTTTTGATAGGATGTCATGGTAATATAAAATACAGAGCTACTTTATCATATAATTTATCTAGTCATTTATTTACTTACAGTCACTTGACTAGTAGTACACCTCACTTTTTATTATATATCCAAATTTTCACTAATTTGATATGTTTTAATGTTTTCAGCCAAAATTTATACCAAAGTTTATAGAACTTCAAAGGCAGCATGATTTTGACTTGGTTTCGGGAACAAGATACAAAGATGGCGGTGGTGTTCATGGTTGGGATTTCAAAAGGAAACTTATATCTAGGGGTGCAAATTTTATAACACAGCTGTTACTTAGACCAGGAGCTTCAGATTTAACTGGATCTTTCAGGTCAATAGATTATGTAAAAGCTAAAATTTTTGTTAGAATGTTACTCAAGCTGTAGTTTTGGAGGGAAGTTAAAATATTTCCTCAAGTCTGAGAGGGCTCAGGGCAAGGAAGTGTCCACTGCACATAGCCACACTTCACATGTTTTAGTATCTCTTCAAAGTTCACAACCAAGCAGATGGTAAATCAGCACTTAAAACTACAATCAATTTAAATGGTGCCAGGGAACGTACCTTGGTGTTTGTGTACTATGTTATTTACGGTGAGCGCAGAACTCCTTACCTACTATGGCTTATATATCTTCCAAAAGAGCTAGATTGTTAACTAGAACTAGTTTTGCTGTATGCTGGCAGTATAGAGAATCCTCATTTCGTCAGATTGGTGTTTTAGGTAGTATCCATTACAAGCTATAAAGTTGTCTGCTGAACTTAGGCCTCAACAATAAATTATCCCATAGGGAGATTTTGCCATAGTTGCCATGCTTGGCAGGTGGGTCGGCAACCACAGTTGTTATTTTAAGTTGTCATCAGGAAGATGCTGCTGTCCATCTTCTGTTGCAGTTCCTCTCTGTTACCTCTTATGACACCCACGGGGTAGTGGATATTCTTACACCGATACTACAAGGTGGCATAGTTATTATGATTATGGGAAAAGTATATACCAAATAAAGTTCGCAGAGAGGTGATGGAAAACAGAGTCGAAAATATGATGTGTACATCTGGTCACTATCACCAATCCTACCAAATGTGACTATTAAAGGCAAATAATCCTTTCAACTTAACTAACTTTTAAGAAATATTTATAAATCTTTTCTTTACATGTAATACAATTGTAAGTTATAATATCAAGTAATTGCTTCATAAGAGATACAGGAAGTTGGTGGATGCAGGTAACTTAGGACCATGCTCTGTGACATTCCTTGAAGGAGGCTTATGTTCAACAGTAGACTTGTGATTGTGTAAATATGTTTCTTTTTTTCAGAGGATGGTTAACAGCTATGCTAGGATCTGATAGTTGACACTGTAGTCGGGTTTCAGTTATCTTTATGGACCAAAATGACTTGTTATTCACAATACATATAAGGTGATTCAGTGCCAAAACATCACAAAGCTTTAGCCCGATAAGTGGCATTGTAGTCGAGTTATTAATAAATTTTATATTTACCATAAGCAGTTAGAAGTGAAACTTATAGCACCACTTACTGGAAAGGGCAGAAACAACATCTGCTGAGCCAGCTTATTAAATTAGAAGATAAGAAAGTGAAACTAAGTTTATGTAACATGGAAGTTAAAATTCAATGCCGAAAGTACAATTTAAATTTCAGATTATACAAGAAAGATGTATTGCTGAAGCTGATAGACAGCTGCGTATCCAAAGGCTATGTCTTCCAAATGGAAATGATAATAAGGTGAGGAAATATATTCAAGCAAGAAATTAATTGAAAATTGTAATTTTATCTCCAGATAAACTATGTACTGTTTTGAATTTCCTTAACGTGATAGAGCTACGCTGCAACTATACTATGGTTGCAACACGAATCGGTTGACTCAACCGGGGAAGGACCGCACTCTCATACCAGTGTAAAATAGCAGACCAATGCCACTGTGTTTTCTATGGAGAGTGTAAAAAGCATAGTCCTCAGGGGTGACAACACATCTACATTTTGAATCTCAATTGAGGACAGGTATAGAAGTCTATGGGCCACAGTATCCACTTACCATCAGGTGAACTGTGTGCTCGTTTGACACCATTATTCTATAAAAGAAAAAATATGAGATACCTCTCACCGAAGAAACTGCGAAAGAAACTCTGTAGGTATTCTCTCATTAGATATGTTAGTCCTTTACGGAAAAAATCCCCTGGATGGAATGAGGACCTCACGGCTCACGATCATTTTTTGTTGCATTCCTTGTTGGTGGGCTATGTTCAAAAGTAAATTTGTGAAAGACTGTACTGATAATAATTAATAATAATAAATATAAGTAGTAAATATAGTTGTTCATGGGCGGCGGTAGTCACTTACCATCAGGTGAGCTGAATGCTCGTTTGCCACCTCTTCAATAAAAAAAAGTAGATGCTGTGGCCCATAAACACCTACATCTATCCTAGTTTAAAAATAAAAACGCAGAGGCGCTGTCACCCCTGAAATGACTCATTTCCTGTAAAAAGGGTCTCCAGATCTCTATACTCAGCATACAAACATAGTATCATTAAGCTATTTTATGGTGGTATTCTATGAGAGTGTGTTCCTTTTCTAGTAGAGTCGACCCATTCGTGCTACAACAGTGAGTAGCTGCAGTATGGCACTACCATGTGTTACTTGGCACTACCACACATGTGCTATATTTCTCCTAATTTTATTGAAATATATACAGGGTTATTTTTCAAAGATTAGTCAAATTTTAAACTTAAGTTTAAATATATAAATAATGATATAACGTTATTACAGTTTTAGAAAATACGAGTAAATAAGGCTTCTACGTTTATTTCAAATTATCCCAAATTGAATGCGATTTATAGGTAACAACGTTTTTTCCTACCGATCGACCCTTACGAATGTGTGCGTGCGCAGTAAAATCAGTTAAAATAATGCATTACCACGCATTTTGAATTTAAAAGATAAAAAGCACAGAATGTTTGAAATTTTTTTATTAATTTTTCTTTACCATATGGCTTTTTTTATAGGATAGGATGACAAACGAGCACACAGTCCAGCTGATGATAAGTGGTTGCTGTGACCCATACACATCTATCCTCAATAAAGAATCAAAATGCAGATGCCTCGTCACCCATGAGGACTAATGTAAAAAGTGTCTCCGGTTCTCTACACACACCATACGAAACATAGCAGTGTTAAGCTGCTATTTTACGCTGGTATTCTGTGAGAGCGTGGTCTTTCCCCGATCGAGCTGACCCATTCGTGCTACAACTATACTACTAATAATACAGCTCTAGCATGGCTCTACCATGTATAATGCTCATATTACTTATTCTGAACCTTCTCCGCAAATTTAACTGGTTATTGCAAAATAACCCTGTATATGCCAGCGATCAGGCCCGGCTTCACACAGGTGATATCTATATCTCAAGTACAATGACACCTACTGGGTTCAATTGTGAATCTAAACCACACAAAATTTCATAAATAAACGGTCCAGCCGTTAAGGAGTTCAATCACATACACACGGACAAAATAATTTTATATATAAAGATGACAATTTTACATTTTAGGGCCAGACAACTGGAATATACCATTGGAGAAGTGCCAATCACATTTGTGGACCGCGTGTATGGGGAATCTAAACTCGGTGGTTCGGAAATCATTCAGTTCGCGAAAGCGCTATTGTACCTTTTTGCAACTACATAATAATATATAATAATATGTTTTATCATTCCATTTATTTAATAAAATGATTTTTGAAAGTCGTTTTGCTTTTATTGTTGATGATTATTTAGATTGTTTAAACATTGTATCTATTTAACATAGAAACTGTTTCTCAAAACATAATTTGACAAGATCAGTAGTTGGAATGAAGTCCTAGGCCTAAAAGTTCGAAGGTGAGTACGCTAAACAATGATTTTTTTAAAATACTAGTAAAGCTATTAAACATTACTAATATTCCCTTTAACCACTTCTGGTAAGCTTAAAATGCTTGTGTTAGAAGTGGTTCACGACAGTAGTCGAATGGCGGATTAGAACCCACGACCAGAGTATAATGATCATTAATTGTATTTGTATCTAGTATGTTTAGTTATGTTTAGTATGTTTATTATATAGTCTATCCATATTAACATCTTAAAAACATGTAGACAGTTTTGTCGGGGAGTTGACGGGCTACGGATTGCTGCTCATGTATTATTGTTTATATAATGGTTCGAAGTGGATTTATGTAAAAGTGGTGCGATCTTGTGTATTAAATGTGTGCACATGTGAACTATTAGTGGAAACGGTGAAACAAGTGCTCCGATGGCGATGTGAATCTCAAGATAAGGTATCTGTCTGCTTAGGCGCCTTGAGATAGTATCGCCAACTTTCTGCTGGCTCAAGTTGCTGTCAAAATCACCCAAAAACTATGCAATGTGATTCATCAACATATTGTGAAGCAGTGTACTGTAAAGTTTATTATCATTTGATACTGATCTATAAAAACGAAGATCTCGTATGACCTTTCGAGTTCACGGTCCGCGCCCTGCCATTAGGCTACTGACGCTTCAAAATGATGAAGAAATATAAAACCTAAAATGAGGGCTTTGATTCTTCTATACTCTATGTCTTAGCACAAGAAAAACTATATATGGAAGTGAAAAATATTTTCCTACTAGCGATCTCGACAACAACGCCACTTACCGGGTCCAAATATGTATCTAAACCATCTAGGGACCCATTCAAACACACACAAAAAAAAATCATCAAAATTGGTCGAGTCGTTTTTGAGTTTTAGCGAGACAAACAGACAGCAATTGATTTTTATAAATACAGATTTAAACTTCTTTTATCAACCGACTTCAAAAAAAGGAGGGGATTCTCAGTTCGACTGGATTTTTTTTAATGTGTTACCTCCGAACTTTTTTCTAGGTGAACCGATTTTTTTTATTTGAAAGCAGGTGCTTCTTATGCGGTCCCATATAAATTTGATCAAGATCTAATGTGTATTTGATTGTCTTCGACTACCTTGATTTTCCTATTTTATTTATATTGAAGTCGGTTGCACAACAATTTTTTTGTTTTTTTTTAAACAGCCCCACACTAGGAGTTTCTCCTGTGTCATGGAGGCAGTTTACAAACATAAATTACACAAGGACAAACATCCAGACCCGGAACAATTATTTGTAGGCCATACAAATACTTGTTCCGAACCCGTTCTGGATTCGAACCCGCGGCCCCCAGCGCAACAACTGATTGCTAAGCCACTGCGCCACGGAGCCGTCTTACTACGCCTTACGTCAAATTTTATCACTTGTTTCATAATATATGGTTTGTGATTTAGATAATCATCAGCAAGAAAACATAGAACTATTAGACCGTCCGCCGTACAGCCCCGACCTAAGCCCTAATGATTTCTATATTTTCCCTAAAATAAAGAATAAATTGCGTGGACAGAGATTTTCACCACCTGAAGAAGCTGTGGACGCCTACAAAACGGCCATTTTGGAGACCCCAACTTCCGAATGGAATGGTTGCTTCAATGATTGGTTCCATCGTATAGAAAAATGTGTCAAATTTCGCGGAGAATACTTCGTAAAGCAATAAATACATTTTTAAATAGTAATGTTGTGTTACTTCCTTGATTCCCGAAATTTTCAGTGCCGCCCTCGTAGCTCCATGCTATGGACGGAGGATATATGTCTACGTTATGTCAAACGGGATTATGCGTTTCTGCCCGTTGCCGAGCTTTGGCATAGGGACAAGATAATGTTATCTCTTGTCAGTGGATATAATCGGGGGATCAAATTTTTGTCTCGAACCCATGCTAGCCGTGCTGGTTTCGTAGTTACTTTTTTGGGCGCCGACTGCGTATTCAAGTACAAGCTGTGTATTCCTATTGGACTGCTACTATTGCCGGCATCCCACAAGGTGGCGTATTGTCTCCTCTCTTGTTTGCAATTTTTATAAATTCTATAAGTGATCAACTGTCTTCTTCTTACCACTAGTACGCCGACGATCTCCAAATTTACACTAAATCTACTCTGAATGATTTACCGAAAGCTATTGACACAACGAACGCTGATCTGGCTTCTATTTTGGACTGATATAAATCTTATGGATTATCCATTAATCCCACTAAAACTCAAGCAATAATTATTGGTAGTTCGAGATTAGTTGCTAGGGTTGACTTTTCTCTCATACTTTTATCAATGGCATTCACATGCCTTATAGTGATAAAGTTAAGAATTTAGGAATATATATCGACTCCTGTCTAACATAGTCACCACAAATTAATAAAGTCGGTAGGAAAATGTTTGCAGCGCTAAGCTCTCTGCAGAGACTTAATAATTTTCTCCCTACTGCCACTAAAGTTGCGCTTGCTCGATCCCTACATCTGCCTATTCTTGACTATGTTGATGTTTGCTATCTGGACGTTACCGAAGCGCAGTTAAATATACTTGAGCGTATTCAAAATTTATGCTTACGATTCATATTTGGACTCCGTAAATATGATCACATTTCAGAATTTCGTAAACGTCTCAAGTGGCTGCCGATTCGCCTTCGCAGGAATACTCACAATATTTCTGCTTACCTGAAAGACCGCTTTGAATTCGTTACCTCCTCTCACGATCATCATCTACTAACAATTTTTTGCTTCGTATTCTAGCATCGTTTTATTTGCCATGTTTTCAATTAAACACGTCGTGAAACACTCTATTGAAGCCGCTATTAAAATGGAATGTTTCATAAGCCGCTATTGATATTCGATAGATAGTTTCGTTACAACCCACCGCTAAGGCTACGCTGTATTGGCGTAGCTCCCTTTGCCCAATAAAAAAAAAACATTCATCCTCCTTCTTCAATAAATTTTTTGGAAATATTTGACGTGCTCTGGTTATTACTTGGAACTCTAATAATCCCCGTCCTTAATTGTATCTATCCTACCTATCCTCAACCGTCATCATCTTGTGTGTATTTATATACTTATAATTTTTTTAACTTGATTATCAAATTTATGTACACCTTACCTATTTGCGATTCGCTGTAAACAACAGTTCTTTACTAAATAAGGGTTGTCTGGAATAAATCGCTTCCAGAGCGATAAGATCGCCTATTGTACCTTGTATAAATTTATTTCATTTTGTCTCGTTCTAATTTGTATTGGTGTACAATAAAAAATAATATATTGATTGATAGATTGATTGAGAATTTGCAGGATGCTTTGGGTATATTCTGTGACTTATCCAAAGCCTTCGATTGTGTTCACCATGAAACATTAATCAGGAAACTACAACGAGTAAGAAGTAATGCTCTTAAATTAATTATTTCATATTTAAGTAACAGAACGCAAAAAGTTGTAATTAATAGTATGAGCTCTTCCGGGTCGATAGTACAAATGGGCGTGCCTCAAGGCTCAATTCTCGGCCCCTTTCTGTTTCTTGTGTATTTTAATGACTTACCTTACATAGTAGGGGATAACCATAATATAGTATTTTATATATTGTGGTTATCCCCTACTATATTAATGTTTTGCTGGTGACACTTCATTAATTTTCAAATTAAAACGACAATTATTAAAATTAGTAAACTTTGTTTAATGTTAATAAGTTGCATTTAAATGGCACTAAAACTTTCATTACTCCAAATGTCAAACATTTAAATAACAATGTAATATTAAACGGGGAGGAACTGAGTCTTGTCGATATCACCATTTTTGTTGAAATAACACTAGGCGCGAAGCTTCAATGGAGCCCCATATATCAAAATTAGCAAGCAGATTTAGTTCTGTAGCATATGCTGTAAAAAAGATTAGAAATCTTACCAGTGTGGAAACAGCTAGACTTTTTTACTTTAGCTATTTCCATAACATAATGTCATATGGTATTTTGCTATGGAGACACGCGAGTGACACTGAAATTATATTTGTTTTACAGAAGAGGGCCATAAGAGCAATATATGATTTAAAATCTAAAGAGTCGCTTCGACAAAAATTTAAGGAAGTTAATATAGTTTGGTCTCTCGATACATTTATGAAAATGTAATGTACGTACACAAAAATAAATGTAGTTATACAAAAATAAGTTATATTAATTCTGTAAATACTAAGATGTATACGCTTTTACAACAAAATCCCCGAAAATATACAAAATTTGGTACCTGCTCAAAGTACAAAAACTTTATTAAACAAAGTTTGGGTTATTATAATATTAAGGAATTTATGGATGATAATAACCCCTGGGAATGAGATGATCGCTACCAAGCTATTTCTAATTTGTTTTTGTGGTTAATTGTGTAACGCGCATGATTGTAAGCTGTTACTTAAAAAAAAGTCCCGCTGGGTCCGCTGCACTTAGTATGCTGGGTTTCTTGCTGCTTCTTCCCAGGACAGAGATATTTTTTCGAACCAGTGGTAATTAAACAAAAGAGTGACTCAATAAGTATTATTTATAATCTATTTTGAATAAAAAAGTTTCTGTTTCTGCACCTAATGTATGTCTGGCGCGTACTGAAAATCAGCGTTATAGTTACTTCTATGTGGTTTCTTTAACATTTGTGCCGAGTAGACGCCATATTAGTTGTATAAAGTAGGTATTTTGTGTTTGTTATGTTAATTTATATTTATATTTAGAATTAAATAAATCATATTATTATTATTATTTTATTATATATTGAACCTGCCTGCTACTTATATGTGTATTTGTATGAAACAAGTACAAAATAAACGTATAATTGTATTGGAAATAAATTATAATCGATGAAAATTGACTAAGTCGCACTAAGCTTGGTGGACTCCTCCTGGGTCAAACAATGTCTCAAACATTTTAAACATGTCTAGCAGACCTAAGATGTTTTTTTTTAATTCGTCTTTGTAGCAGATACGTGTTATACGCTACGCGGTTGTTAAACAAATTTACATGGAAAATTTACTTAGCTTAGTATGAATTTCAATTTCCATAACGAATCAGACTGCGATGACGTAGGTCACATTTGTATAACAAAATTGGTAAAGTTATTCTATTTCACGATGAAGTTTTGACTTTGGTTGTGTTAGCCGTGCACATACACATTGTGTTAGTGTGCATAGGCCTCGGGAGCGCTACCACAGAGTAAAGAGTAAGGACCAGAGGGGAAGCTTCTTAACAACGTTGAAAATGTATACCTATTCTGATAGGGTTGTCACATGATGCATGTGAAAAATTTAAGGAAAAAATAAAAATATTGTATAGCATAAGACAACATGTTGTGCATTAATTATAACTTATATTAATGTAACAACATATCTGTTAATTGTTCGAAATCAAGAGCTGTTTCGTATCGATTAATTATAAACAATAAGGAAAAAATTTAAATACTATATAGTGTATAAAATAACATGCGTATTAATTATTACTTATGTTACATAATGTAACAACATAATATCTATTAATTGTTCGAAATCAAGAGCTGTTTCATATCGATTAATTTTAAACAATAAGGAAAAAATTTAAATATTATATAGTGTATAAAATAACATGCGTATTAATTATTACTTATGTTACATAATGTAACAACATAATATCTATTAATTGTTCGAAATCAAGAGCTGTTTCGTATCGATTAATTTTAAACAATATATATTATTTACCTATATAAATTTATAATAACTTAATTATTTTAATTAAAATACTTAAATGTAATTATTTAATAATTGCAAAATACTTAATAATTTAATTGATGTATAAAATTTCGAAATATTGTTGTTCTATTTATTTAAATGCGCATGACTAACAGCCCTTTCATGGATACTCTGATTAGGCTGGCGCAAACCGGTTTGTACCCTGACGGAGCGTCGGTGAACCTGTCGGTGAGAGCTCACGCACACATCGCTGTGCTATGGATGCGTGTATTCGCAGCGAGCCGTTTGTATGTAGCTTCCCCTCTGGTCGGTTTCTTTACTCATGTGGCGCTATTCCCGAACGCCCGCAGCCAACGCTCACTAACACAATGTGTAAGTAACAATTCAAACACTTGCCATATTTGCACAAGTGTCTAGTATCGTAAACAACATCCAATAATTACCAATTTGGCCGTCAGTGCGCACAGACATGTTTTTATTAACTCTCATAATCTGCCAAATAATTGCCTCCTCAGCAAAGGTTCTTAACGATCCTAGTATTCAAAACTTGGATCAAAATAATGAGATTGTAGTTTTGGACGTAGACAAAGCCAGCGGAACGCATGAAAAACATGTAGAAGTATGGGACGATCCACTATGGGTCCTAAAATTAAATGACCGTGAGTTGAATTTCACCTATCTGAGGTCAGCCACTGAGGATGAGGAAGAGAACTTTGATACTTTCATAGGGCCTATTATACATAGGTAAGTGCTTCCACATAATAAGTGATGTTATGATCGGATTGTCATATATTATTAAACAACCACATTAAACGTGGTAGAACCAAGTTGCAGCCAATTATGATTGTAGCACGAATGGGTCGGCTCCTAGCCCGGCAGAGTCGAGCCACGCTCTCACAGAATACCTGCGTAAAATAGCAGCTTAATGCTGCTGTGTTTTGTATGGTGTTATGGTGTAGAGAACTGGAGACCCTTTTTACTGGCAACGAGGCATTCCATCTTAGTCCTCAGGGATGCCAACGCATCTGCATTTTGATTCTTAACCGAGGATAAATGTGGATGTCTATGGGCCACAGCGTCCACTTACCATGTGGTGGACTGTGTGCTCGTTTGGCACCCTTATACTATAAAAAAAAACATAGCTTTGTGGGCAGTGTACAAGACAACTGAGCTGTTATAAAATATATTTTTTTAACTAATATAAGCCAGTGCTTGGCTTCTATCCCACCTGATGGTAAGTGATGATGCTGTAGAAAATAGTAATACGCACTAACCTAGCTTAACATAAGCTTATTCACTCTTGCCTTGAAGACACCTATATTACAGTCGGAAAGACTGATGCCAGCAAATTATTAAAATCCTTTGCTGTGCGTATTACGATCAACGAAGCAACCGTTTGGTTCGAATGCATGGTATGTCGACAACGAAGTGTTTGCGAACTGTCTAGCGTCTGGTGGTCCGATGATGGAACTGAGAGACTAATTATTTGCATAGGAATTGCATGACTAGGAATTCCCAGTCCTGCAATTCCTGTGCACATTCTTTACAATATATCCTGTAATATAACAAAATAAAAATAAATATTACGTATAAGTACTTATCAATTAAAATCAGATTATTTCTTCACTATCCAGTAGGTGTTCCGAAGCTGTATGTCTCACATAGTAACTCTCACATAGTAGGGAATATTTACCAAAGTGCATGATAAGTGAATTGCGGCATTGAAGCCATCACGGCGGTGAGATAACTCATCTATGCACTGTGAACACCGTACTGGAATTTTGACGATCGGACACGAGCCGGGTCCTCATCAGTTCTCCTTTTATATAGCTCGCGGTCTTTCCGATGAAGCTATGAAAACCAACTGGCTAACAGTACTATATAACAGAAAATAGGCAAGACCAGATTGCACCAGTCAGTATTGCACCTGTGATGTTACTTCTCGTCCCGGGTATGGGTATATCAAATGTATTGTAAGCAGAGACGTAGCGTGGGCTGGTATAGACGTGGGCGAAGTCGCAATAGATCTATCCAATAGATCCATCCTGCCAAACATGCTTTGACACAACATACTTACTTATAGTTATTAATTCCTGACAAGTCTCTTATTCCGTCAATCTAGCGGTCGCGGTCTTTGAAGGTAGTTACAACGGCCTCGGAGTCGCACTTAAGAGGGGCTTCTTGCAAGGCCCCAAACAAACACGCTTTTAAATTTGTGATGTTCTTTTTCGAGCGTAAAAGTGATCATATTAATTAGTCATCTGTGGTAAAGGCTCTCTTAAGTGCGAGGCCGTGGGTGAGGGCCCACTTCGCCCACGCCTAGCTACGCCACTGCTTGTAAGTAAGAGACAGTTATATCGCTATCTATCGTACAAAGTTGGAGACTATCAGATCTCATTGCTGGGTATAGACCAATTCTCATCATGGAGAGATTTATAGGCCAATTAGTACCTACGTCGCTTTGTGTTTGCGATTTTTTCAGTTTATGTTGGCGGACTACAAGCCACATGTGTAAAGTTACTGCTTACTCTGTGCTACAAGCCCTCCAAATATTTTGTTTCTCAGACATATAGGTTTTCTAAAAGTTTTTCATAACTAGGATTACTGGCAGGATTTGAACCCGGATTACTTACTGGTAAGCTTACGGCAAGAGCATAGTCTTGATCTATGACGGCTCTATATATGTATATAGAGCCGTCATTAGTTGAAATAAAAAAAAGGGTTCGAATCTCGCACGGAACAAATATTGTGTGTCTACAAGTAATTGTTCCGGGCCTGGATGTTTGTCCTTGTGCAATTTATGTATGTAAACATATTCCATTTCCAGGAGAAAATCCTAGAGTGCGTGACGTTTTTTTAAAGAAAGGAAAAAGAATAAGCTATGACGCCCTATGATTATTCTGGCATTTCTTCAGTCGCCTGTAACGTCATCCACGGGTACGAAGATAGAGCTAAGAGTTCCTTAACGCCATAACCAACCGATGCATTTTTTTTATGATTATGATAAAGTTATCTTGATGACGTTTATTTGCAGACATCCTCTGGCGTACTACAGTTACAAACAACGCCAAGCATCTCGAAGAGTAAAAAAAGATGACCCGAATAAACCATACCCCATTGATCAAATATTGAAAGATATACCTGCAAACAATAGAGAAGTTAATCATGAGGAATGTAGCGGTGATCTGAAAAATGAAGTCATAAAAATTATCAATAAGTTTGTGTGAGTTTGTGTTATGGTTGCATTTCGTTTTTATTTTATATGTTTTTGTATTTTTTTTATCTCTGTTTATCGAATAAACTATCATAATAATAGGCCGGGGAAAAAGTTTCTTCGTATTTTGTTTGGATAAAATTGAACAAAAATCTATTTGGTTGTACTGTTTGTATGTGGCTGGTGTTAATATCAATACAAATAGGACATTAAGAGAAAAATAAAACTAATAAGTAAAAAACACTTTCCCGCCATTTTAGTTTAGCTTAGGTTCGAATATTGTGTTAGCTTCATGGTTGGCACTACACAATGTTCCAACTCCAAACGTTCATCTGTATTTGTTATATTGTCATACACCGATTGTTCGAGAGCTAACTTCATAAGCCAATCCCGATTTCGAATGCTAATGATGTGTTTAAAAAGCTATTATGATGGCATACAAATTGACCAACTGTGTCTATAATCCTTTGGTATTAGTTTATTTATCGTCGCCACCGTCGATTGCCGGGTTAACTCGGACGTACTACCTAATTATCTTTCTAATCCTCTACATACATATTATATACGTTTGGAGGTTCTGATATTACCAGTCGTGTCGATAAATACAAACGTTATTTATTCCAAAGTTAGGTTAAGATGTGAATGATTTGATAAGTTCTTATATTTTTTTAGGCTGTCATTCCATAACCAGCCGGAATCGCATCAGTCCGAAACAAAAGAAGCATACAAAACTCCTACATTGACTGTAAGTTATATTGTGCATTCAATGAATATTAATTTAGACGTGGTAAAGCCATACTGCCGCTATGTTATAGCTGCAGCACGAATGAGTTGGCTCGACCAGGTAAGAATCTCGCTCTCGAAAATACCAGCGTAAAATAGCAGCTTAATACTGCTGTGTGTAGAAAACCAAAGAACTTTTTTACTGGAAACGAGGCATTCTTTTTGAGGATTTGCGTTCAATGAATCTAAAATTTGATCCTTCTTGGAGAATAGATGTAGGTGTTTATGGGGCAACGTATCCGCTTACCATCAGGTGGACTTTTTTTGCTCGTTTGTCACCTTTATTCTATGAAAAAAATAATGCCTCTCCTATGAAGCTATATCCTATCCGTGATGTAATAAGGTATGGCCCTGGGTGGCAGTTTTTAAAAGGCAGGTTTTTGGGAATGTTAGTAATTTCCCGCCTTATTTTTCAAATAATGCCATTAAAAATCTCAAAAATCCTTAAATTAAGCTGGTTAATATTAATTTTGTATTCTGAAAGTAACCGGAAATCAACATATGATGTTTCTGGATTTTTATATAGAGGTAAATACTACAAGATACCTTTTCTAGAATAAATCATCTTACGTGGTAGAGTCACGCTGCAGCTATATTATGGTGGTAGCACGAATAACCCACACTACCACACTCACAGAATACCAGCGTAAAATAGCAGCTTAATGCTGCTGTGTTTCGTATGGTGAGTGTAGACAACCGGAGACCCTTTATACTGGGAACAAGGCACTCCATCTCAGTTCTCAGGGGTGACAACGTCTATGGCCCACAACACCCACTTACCATCAGGTGGACTGTGTGCTCGTTTTTAACCCTTATTCTATAAAAAAATATCTTCAATCAGCCCATTAAAGTTCACTGCTGAACATTTTTTTTTTATAGGAGAGGGGGCAAACGAGCATGCGGCTCACCTGATGGTAAGTGACTACCGCCGCCCATGAACAACTGCAATACCAGGGGAATCGCAGATGCGTTGCCGGCCCTTTAAAAAGGAGTACGCTCTTTTCTTGAAGGTCCCTAAGTCGTATCGGTCCGGAAAAATCGCTGATGGTAATCGATTCCACAAGGAGGTCGTGCGAGGAAGAAAACATCTTCTAAATCGCACAGTGGTGGACCGCCAATCATCCAGATGGTGTGGATGGTATCGGGAGTTCTGCCGCGATGTGCGTTCGTGAAATTTGGCGGCTGGGATTAATCCGAACAATTCCTCAGAGCACTCCCCATGGTAGATGCGAAAGAAAATGCAAAGGGATGCAACATCCCTTCGCAGTGCCAATGAATCGAGCCGATCGGAAAGGGCTCGGTCGTCGACGATTCGAGCAGCTCTGCGTTGGATGCGGTCAAGTGGAAGGAGCTGGCACTGGGGAGCCCCTGCCCAGAGATGGAAACAGTATTCCATGTGAGGCCGAACTTGCGCCTTGTAAAGTTGCAGGCGGTGTGCCGGCATGAAATACTGTCCCGCTCTGCTGAGCACGCCAAGCTTTTTAGAGGCCAATTTGGCCTTCCCTTCCAAGTGACCACGAAACTGCACGTCACTCGATAAGTCGACTCCGAGGATACCGATACTGGCTGAGAAGGGGAGTGCCTTGAAACTGAGGAGATACGTCAAAGGGGTTCTTTTTAGCGGTAAACGCGCAAACTTGTGTCTTCTGAGGATTAAACTGGACTAGATTTAGTCGCCCCCAATCCGAGACTTTGCTCAGCAAAGACTCGACTTCAGACACAAGTTTGTTCCGCTACTCAGCGACGTTTTCCCGAGAAATATTGGCACGGCCGGTGTATAGAGCATCACCAGTGCTGTCATCCGCATAGCAATGAATGTTACCAGTTAGCAACATATCATTGATATGCAGAAGAAACAGCGTTGGTGATAGCACACAGCCTTGTGGAACACCAGCGTTAATAGGCTTGTAGTCAGAGCATGCACCGTCTACAACGACCTTGATGCTTCGATCTGCAAGGAAGCTGGTGATCCAATTGCACAATTTCTCGGGAAGCCCATAGGAAGGGAGCTTCGAAAGAAGCGCTTTGTGCCAAACCCGATCGAAGGCCTTCACAATGTCCAGACTAACGGCCAACGCCTCCCCCTTGGACTCTACTGCCTCCGCCCATCTATGGGTCAGGTAGACCAGAAGATCACCAGCTGATCGACCCTGACGAAAACCGTATTGGCGGTCACTAATCAGCTGGTGATCCTCAAGGTACCGGATGAGCTGGCTGTTAATAATGGATTTCATTATTTTGGAGAACAAGGAGGTGATCGCGATAGGCCTATCGTTGGACGGGTCTGAGCGGTCGCCTTTTTTAGGGATCGGGTGGACAAAAGCTGTCTTCCATGAATTCGGGACTACGCCTTGGGAGTAGGAGTACCGGAAAAGACGCGTTAGGACCGGTGCCAACTCCGGAGCACACGTCCTCAGCACAATTGGGGTGATTCCGTCAGGCCCACTCGACTTCTGGATGTCCAGGGAGAGCAGGGCTTTGCGAACCGAGCGCTGTGAGAACAGCACATCCGGCATGGAGCACTCACACCGCGGGATGGTCGGCGGTGTTTTCCCCCCGTCATCAAGAGTCGAGTTGGACGCAAAAAGGGAGCCTAAAAGGTCGGCTTTGTCTTTTGCGTCATGGGCCAGTGAGTCATCCTCCCTGTGCAGAGATGGTAGTGATGGCTTACAGAAATTCCCTTGGACAGCCTTGGCGAGAGACCAGAATGCACGGGTTCCCGAAGGAAGGCGAACTAGTTTCTCGCCAATTCTGCCTATGTGCTCTGACTTTGCCTTGGCAATAACTCTTTTGAAGGACCTGGAGGCGAAGTTATACTTCTTTTTAAGTGTGCTGGTGTTTACTTCCCGAGTCGCCGAAGTCTCAGCCCAGGCTTGATAACACTCCTGCTTACTGCGTAATGCAGTTTTACAGGAGCGACCAAACCAAGGCTGAGATCTGCCTCCGATGGGTACCACAGATGATGGAATAAATAGTTCCATTCCCTGTAGCACCACATCAGTGACAGAGTCAGCAACAGCGCTGGGATCGTCCGGCGAGAAACAAACCCGCCCCCATGGGTAGGATGCAAAGAAAGACCGCATTCCGTCCCAATCCGCCGACCTGTAATGCCAAACACGGCGGCAACCTGCAGAACGCAACCGCGAAGGGAGCGTGAGTGGCACCACACTCCGGATCAGACAATGGTCCGAAGAGCCGAGAGGGGCATCGACGGAAACCTGATATCCGTCCGGATGAGAGGTCAGCAGAAGGTCCAACAGGGAAGGTGTATGATCCTCCACATCTGGAATCCGCGTAGGCGAAGTAACCCGTTGTGTCAGACCATATGCCAAGGCAAAGTCATAAACAGATCTCCCCGCATGATCGGTTAGACGTGAACCGAGCCATTCGGCATGGTGGACGTTAAAATCGCCAAGGATCACGATCTCTGCGGATGGGATCTGTTGTAGCAAGGAATCTGTAGCCATTTGGACGTGGTCGATGAGTCGGTCTGTTTCGGCATTACCGCTATGGGACCTATAGAGGCACCCGTAGACGCGCGGATGGTCGTCGCTGTCTACGCGTAGCCAAAGGATGGACAGGTCCGAACCTTCAAGACTGCCGAGGCGTCGAGAACAGATGTCCTCTCTGACATACACGCAAACTCCAGAACATCATCAATCATTGGACAGGTGGATTGAAGATAGCAGTATCAGATGTTTAGCACCTCCGTGGCTGCTCCCCGTTGCCGGTTTTATTTTACGCCTGGAGTAAACGAGATGGTTTTAACGCCATCTGTCGGAAGCCATAAGATCTTTCTGACTTATCTCATAGTCGCCTCTTATGATACCCACGGGATAAAAAATGCGGTGATGGATTGTCTTGCGCCGTTACCACATGTGCCAAAATAGATCAACTATTTTAGGCCATGTGGTGGCGTACATTTATTTAACTGTAACTTTTACTTATTAGAGCCATGGCAACTTAAGGGCTAAGGGCTAGCTGTAAGTTTTTAATCCGCGAGCAACCCGGGCTTGCTTCCCGCCGGCACTAATGAAATTCTTAATTACAATTATATATATTTATTCGTGGTAGAGTCATGCTGCAGCAAGTATGCAGCTAGTATAGTTGTAGCACGAAGGCATCGGCTTGACCGGGGAAAGACCACGCTCTCACAGAATACCAGCGTAAAATAGCAGCTTAATACTGCTGTGTTTCGTATGATGAATGTAGAGAACCGGAGACCCTTTTTACTGGAAAAGAGGCATTCCATCTTAGTCCTCACGGGTGACAACGCATCTGCATTTTGATTCGCAAACGAGGATAGATGTAGATGTCTATGGGTCACAGCAACAACTTACCATCACGTGGGCTGTGTGCTCGTTTGTCACCCTACCCTATAAATAAAAACAATTTTATGTGCTGATTTACCACGTACTCTGCTGTGAAGGAAAACATCGTGAGGAAGCCTGCATGTCTAAAAATAAAATGTTTTGAAGAAATGTGAAGTCCGGCCAACACGCATTGGGTCAGCGCAACGGACATCACTTCCTTGCCCTAAAACCCTCTCGGGAGTGAGAGGAGGCCTGTGTTCAGCAATGGGACGTTGAAAGGCTGTAACTTTAACTTAGGACTTAGGACTCCGTCTGGGTGGTTGGGTACCACTCTCTTACCTATCTGCCTCCAATTAGCAGTGCTTGCACTGCTTTGTTTGTTCCAGTCTTATAGAAAGCCAACATAATGAGGGCATCCACGAATTTTTCTGCCACCAGGGTGGCGCCACTTAAAAGTGAGGTATAATATTTGACAGATTTCATAGTGGGGAAGTTAATTTGTTCGAAAAATGTAAAGGTTACTGTTTCTTTCTGTACTATTAGCTATATTTTATATTAATAAGATTAAAAATAAATAAACTAAACCACAGATATTCATATAAGTAGAAAAATTACAAAAAAGTTAAAAATGTGCAAAAAATTAAAGAGCAAACCACTGACGCATTGTTTTGTGTATTAATATAATACTCTTGAAACTGGTAAACATTTATTAAAAACCAACTTAATAAATTACATTGTGTAACGAAAAACTTGACCTAACAGTCAACTAGTGACATCTGGTGAGCAGAAAATTATTGGCCCTCATTAATGACTTCCATCTTAGTCGTCAGTGGTGACAACATTATGTATCTGTATACTTCTTTGTTTGAAGTTAGTTGCAGGTGTCGATGGGCTACAAGTCACAAACCATGAGGTGGATTGTATTATGGAGTGTAGAGTTGAAGGAGGACCAACTCTATATATGAAAAGTGTCCCTAAAAACGCGTCCTGCTACTGCAGCGCCACCCAATAAGGGTGGCGCTGCAGTAGCATAGGATAAATTAAAAAAAAAGCGCCAAAAATAATTAGAATAAGATGGAGAAATAAACAAGGACCGACCAATCCGCTTGGTTTTGTACTACGTAAATAGTTGAGATTTTGTATACTGGCATTTTACTAACTACTCTAATCATGAAATTTTTTAAATATTTGAATTCAGCTGACTTCACTCCGTTCACAACAGCTATCTTCATATCGTAGTTTTTCAGATGCCAGCGCTATTTTAGAACCTCTATTTTCAGTAAATAGTAGGACACTTTTTCAAATTTCGCCCCTTATAAGATGGTTCTCCTTGTACTCTACACTCCATAGATTGTATGTTCTTTTATCACATCAGTTTTATTAAAAAAAAAAAAACAAGTTTAATATTCAGTTAATAATTAAAAACGATTAATCTTCGTTTTATAATATTTCAGCTTTATTTCAAAGGTCCATTCACAGCGTTATTGGTCAATTACGAACATAATCAGTGGCAATTTTTCGTTAAGCCTCCATCTCCGCTTCCGAAATGGTTCTACAACGAGCATTCCAATATAACTTTAGATAAATACGGAATGTATGTAAACATTCCAGATGAAGTCAAAGAAGAATTTTACGAGAAATTACTTAATTTGTTAAATAATTTATTCAGTTTTCCAATTTAATATTATCTGTGTTTTTATACCATAAAAAATAACTATGATCTATTATGCAATATTTAATTATATTGGTACTTTGTAATTTGATGTAAAATATTTTATGTAATTTAAATAAACTGAATTTAAATTTTAATACAATTATTGTAAAGACAGCAACAGAAACAGAAACAGAAACTTTTTTATTCAATATAGATTATTAATAATACTTATTGAAAGTCACTCTTTTGTATGATTACCACTGGTTCGAAAAAAAACCTCTGTCCTGGGAAGAACCAGCAAGAAACCCAGCGGGACTTTATTTTTTAAATAACAGCTTACAATCATGTATGTTGCACAAATTAACAACACAACAAATTAGAAATAGCTTGGTAGCGATCACCTCATTTCCAGGGGTTATTATCATCTATAAATTCATTAATATTATAATAACCCTTTTTATACAAACTTAGTTTAATAAAGTTTTTGAACTTTGAGCAGGTCAAATTTTGTATATTTTCTGGAATTTTGTTGTAAAAGCGTATACATCGCCCCAAGAATGAATTACTGACTCGATGGAGTCGAGTAACTGGTACTACTAGCTTGTGTCTGTTCCTAGTATTTACAGAATGAATATCACTTATTTTTGTAAAACTACTTTTATTTTTGTGTACGTACATTACATTTTATTACATTTACATAAATGTATTGAGAGGCCAAAGTTAATATATTAATTTCCTTAAATATTTGTCGCAGTGACTCTTTAGGCTTTAAATCATAAATTGCTCTTATGGCCCTCTTCTGTAAAACAAATATAATTTCAGTGTCCATAGCAAAATACCATACGACATTATGCTATGGAAATAGCTAAAGTAAACTAGTCTAGCTGTTTCAACACTAGTTAGACTTCTAATCTTTTTTACGGCATATGCTGCAGAACTAAGTCTGCTTGCTAGTTTTGATATATGGGGGCTCCATTGAAGCTTCGCGTCTAGTGTGATTCCAAGAAAAATGGTGGTATCTACAAGACTCAGTTTCTCCCCATTTAAAATTACATTAGTATTTGTTTGACATTGGGAGTCATACATTTCATACATTTCGTTTTAGTGCCATTTAAATGCAAATTATTAACATTGAACCAATTTACTAATTTAGATATACGAGGGTGGATTGAAAAGTACTCGGCCTAACCAAGAAAATAAACACATACTAAATCAGTTATATTTTTATTTTTCTACATAATCACCATCAAGTTCAATACACTTTTGCCACCTCCCCTTCCAAGCATTTAGACCGTTGAAAAAAAATGATTCTTCCTTAGAGTCAAAATATGCGTCTACAGCTGCTTTGACCTCGTCGTTTGTCGAAAATCTTTGACCTCCCAAGTGCTTTTTTAGGTTAGGGAACAGAAAGAAGTCTGATGGTGCCAGATCAGGTGAATACGGCGGATGCGGTAACAGTTCAAAGCCACAGTTGTGAATTTCAGCCATTGACTGTACTGACGTGTGAACACGGGCGTTATCTTGATGAAACAGGACTTTTCTTCTGAGCATTCCTCGACGTTTTTCTTTTATTTCCTCTCGTAAACGACGTAGTAAGGTGCAGTAGTAATCAGAGTTTATATTCTGACCCCTTTCAAGATAATCAATCATAATCACACCTTTCGAGTCCCAGAATACTGAATCCATCACCTTATTTGCCGACAAAATCGACTTAGCCTTTTTAGGGGATGGTGAACCAGGTCTTCTCCACTGTTTTGATTGTTGTTTTGTTTCCGGTGTACAGTAATGAACCCATGTTTCGTCCATAGTAACAAAACGATTCAAAAAATCATCTGCATCGGCTTCAAATAACTCCAAACAGTCGCGTGAAATAGTCAATCGCGTCCTTTTTTGTTCAACTGAAAGCAGTCGCGGAGCCCACCTCGCAGACACCTTGTGGAAACCCAACTCGTTGACAATGATGTTTTGAGTTCGTTCATAAGAGATGCCTATAATCTCGGCTATCTCTCTAATTTTTAATCTGCGGTCTCCCATTATTAAATCAAGTACTTTTTTAATATTTTCGTCAGTAGTTGACGTCGAAGGCCTTCCAGAGCGGGGTTCATCTTTCACACTCTCTCTACCACGCTTAAATTCTGCTATCCATTTTTTGACGGATGAATATGACAGAGCACAATCGCCTAATGTACTGACCATGTCATCATGGATGGCTTTTGATGATAGCCCCTTCTTATGGAGGTACTTAATGACGGCACGCTGCTCGATTTGCTCCATTTGCGGAAATTATGTCCGATTACTTTGTTAATAAATTTATAAAATCACAACTAATTATCGCACACGTTTCGAACTTCACACAATGAACTAGTCTGAACTGAACTAAATAATGTGGGTAGATTTGATTTTTAGAATTGAATGGATCTGTGTTAGGCCGAGTACTTTTCAATCCTCGTAGCATTATTTACTTCGTCATATTTTAGCAATTGTCGACTTAATTTGAAAATTAAAGAAGTGTCATCTGCAAATAATACTATATCATGGTTATCTCCTACTATGAAAGAAAACTAAAGACTCCTACTAAAGAAAGCATTACAGCAATTTCTAACTTTGTTGACCTCAAAATGATAATTACTTTATAATACCTACATTGCGTATATGTTTTATGAGCCGTTGTGAGGGTAAATGTAGATTGTGTCAATGGCACACAGCATCCATTTACCATAGCGCTGCACCTCATTGCTAAGCCAATGCTACACGGAGCCGTCAATACTGATACCGCGGTAGAAATTTAGAAACGTTTGGCTGGAGGGGGGGGGGGAGGCGGGGGGGGGCAGTGTTCCCTACACCCCGACACCACAATCATGAAGAGGTAATACACCGTTCGTGAGAAAAATTAATAAGAAAATCCCATAGACCTACCTGAAAATGATAATTTATCTCTCTCCAGGAGGGGTAGGGGGTGTCTATTCTACTCAGCTGTGCACCCATGTCAACGAGGGTTAAGGCGTCCCCCCAAGGCGACGCACACCAGCTCGTCCCCGTTGGTGTGGAATGCAGCACGCAAAGCGGCGATGGGGACCGCCACCCGTCACGCACAGCCCGACACGGCGGAAGGTGGAGGACAGAGTGCAGAGTTGGCACGTGGAATGTTAGAGGAGGCATGAGAGATAAGACGAATGAATTGATCGAAATAATGAAAGAAAGAGAATTATATGTCGTGTGTATGTCGGAGACCAAACGGAAGGGCAGTGGTACTGAAGAGCTCCCTGGCGGGGCGTTAGCTCTATGGTCCGGAGTCCCGGAGAGCGAGAACGCCTGCCAGGAAGTGGGGGTGCTGCTGTCTTCTCGGTTGGTCGATGTAATGACTGAATATAAGGTTGTGAACTCAAGACTTCTCTGGGTTCGCTTTAAATTGGGACTGACGAAGTTATTCCTTTTGGCTGTTTATGCGCCGGTAGCTTCGTCGTCCAGGGCTGAGCTGGAGGAGTTTTGGGAGAATGTAAGAAAAGTTCTAGATTTGGCTAGGGGAAACGAAAGAATTGTTGTATATGGTGATTTGAATGGATGGGTTGGTACCGCTCGACCAGGGTACGAGTCGGTACTTGGAAAGTTTAGCGATAAAAGGGTTAATGATGCTGGCAAGCTTATACTGGCGGTATGCAAGGAAAAGGGTCTTCTTGTGACAAACACTATGTTTAATCACAAGAAAATCCATATGTATACTAGAGAACGAAAGAATGAGAGAAGTATGATCGATTTGTTCCTGGTGGATGTAAAAATAAAAAAAAAAACAGGTTTGAAAGATAACCTTATCACAAAAATTGATAAGGGCGTGCTTCGGTGGTTTGGGCACGTTGAGACCGAATGGTGAAGAAAATATATAGCGCGAAAGTTAATATTAAAAGGTGTCGAGGTAAACCGAGACTAACTTTCGAAGGCCATGTGAGCAAATTGCTCGAAGAGGGTAGGGTCAAGAGTACTCGGATACCTAGACGTGCATGTATGAAGAAGATAATGAATCTGAAAGAAGCGAAAGAGGTATGTAAGGATCGTATGTAATATAACGTGATGTAATATAATATAAGTATATATATATATATGCTGCCACATTCGGTCTTCAGCTTTGACAGTTGACTCTTTCTGGCAGACAGATCTCTGGCAAAGACTTTGGAGCCTTGGTTCCGCTCGATCGCTTCTTCAATACGAGCTGTATTGAAGTTGCGTAAGTCCCGCCGCATGCATTTGGAGATCTGTCTGTTCAGTTGCCTGTATGCTGTCAAATCTGTTGAAGAATGTAGCTTCATCTCCCGTCTAACAGCCATGAGATTAAGAGTGTGATCGGAGAGTTTTTGTGTTCTTCTGCGGCGGGTCTTGCAGAACTTAGCTCCGACCTCATGGACAGTTTCCACGAGCTTGTCATTCAAATTGTCCACTTCATTGCAGTCTTCTAGGCACTGAAAACGGTTTTGTAACTCGAGCTGAAAGGTTTCGGGACTTTGGATTGGAGCACGAGGGGGACGGAGCGTTGACTTCATTAGACGAGACCTCTCCAACTTAACGTTTAGGTTCAGTGTGCCTCTAACCATTCGGTGATCGCTGCCGGTTTTCACCCTCGCGATCACTGAGACATCACTGAACAGTTGTCGTCTGGTCGTCATAATGACCTCTTTCTCCATGAAGTCGGCCAGCTGCTGGCCCCTTGGGTTCCGTTGCCCTATTCCAAATTTCCCCACTTTCAGCTCACCGTTCTCTCTTGTGCCTAGTTTTGCATTGAATTCTCCCATTAACACCGTATATTGGGTTTTGGAGGAATGCATGGCTCTAGAGATATTCTCATACATTTCCTCCACCTCCTGATCGGGGTGTGCCGAGGTTGGTGCGTAAACCTGTATGACCTTCAGCGAATACCGTTTGGTGATTCTGAGTATAAGGTACGCAACCCTCGACGACACACTCTCAATCTTTACAACGTTGTTAACGAGAGACTTGTGGACGATAAATCCGACACCTCCTTGGGACAGATGGTCGCCC